AGCCTTAGTAAACGACAGAGTTTTGGTTGTTTTAATTGTGGCACTTGCTGCGCATTTTGGTGTTTAAAATGTTGCAGCTGCGCCGGTGTAGCTACCCAAAGATACAGTTAGCTTAGTTAGCTATTTATCTAGTGTGCGTCCATTATCGGACATGTCTCTGCTGTCAGTATCATGTTACTCTCACCATGTTATTCTGTTTATGTCTGCGTTTTACAGATTCAGGAAGTTTACCTACAGATGTTTAGGGAAAGCATAAATATTGTTAGTACCAGTTCGGGATGAAGATGGAAGATGTCCCATCTGCAGGAAGACGAAATGATGATCATGTTAAATTAGACTTCAGCAGAGACAGGAACTCCGTTTCTTTGAGTAACTTTAGAAGAGATACACGAAAACGACTTGATTTGACTGAACTCTGTGGTTTATTTGTTGCTTCAGGGTCAACAAACATCAGGTTGTTTAAAAAGACAAAACGACACTATCACGACTAACCATATCCTGTGATATTTAGCTGGTCAGCAGTTTCACTACTTGGCCTCAGTTTGCTGATGGGTGCGGTGTCTGCTGTCTGTTCACACAGTGGACAACTGTACACCATAGGGTTAATGGTATAGACTAAAAGTAATTAGAAACACAGATGTAAGATCATGTTTATCAATATATATTGGTAGGATTGAGAGACACCACATATCAAATATCAGAATTGATATTGTTGTTGATCTAATCTTGGGCTGACTTGGGAGCTGAAGGCCAAGATGCCACACACGTCCATATGACTGAAGTCTTCTTACCAATTTATGTCAACTATGTATTGCTATTATTCACTTGCATGTTATGGCTATCCCCCTTTGAGTGCCCACCCACCCATCCCTATGTAAAACATTTGTTTTCATAGCTAAAACCCAGACTTAACTAGAAAGCTCAGTTATTCTGTTTACAACAGATATGTCTGTGCCTCACATAGAAAGTCAAGGCACGCCACCTCGAACAAAAAAATACATCTATATTGAGCAACAAATTAAAAAAGCAAGGTAATATTTCATATTTCAGTTAATGGTCTAGAATCTGGACCCACCACCACCTACTTAATCACAAATCACCACCCACATTTCTGAACGTTTTAAACCAGTCAAAATGATCCAACGAACGATAGTTTGTCCCCAAGACTGAAAACAGTTTGGAAGAACTCAAAAGGTTTGTTTATATAAGCCGATTTTCATTTTCTAAATGTCTTTTCAGTTTGGATGGCTTCATATTTTTGTGTGCCATCACTTTGCTGCACACGAGACTGAGGATAAAACTCATTTTACCTGTGTATTCTGTATCTTATTTGTGTTTCACAATGCTAAACTGCCAGCATGAAAACAATCTTTAGATTTCTCATTTTTGTTCTTTTGCTGTTAAGGTGAATTACAGCGATCTACTGAGTGGTACGAACTACACCCTACTACTACACACTGCTCCATTGGAAACATGTCCTCCTAAATACAAGTGTTACATAAACTATTTGCAACAAACTTTTTCCATTCACGTGTCCATGACCCACCAAAAATGGCTCTGCGTCACATTTTTGGGTCCCCATCCCCCAGTTGAGAACCACTGGTTAAGGCCATCACCTACTAATTGATGGCTAAAGCAGATGTCAGGATCTGAGTTGGGTAGCACTTTGATTGACCAACTTCCAGGGAAACAAGCCCCAGTCTTAAATATTAAAAGAGAAGTGGATCAAAGCAAAGATCACTGAAATATTAGTTCTGTCATAACATCCTATCATACGTAGTATGTCTGCTTAATGGAGCTAACATTGTTTGTTCTTTTCCTCTCACAGTGGACAGTGGACGTGTAGCCCTGTATACGAAACAGGAGACCGAGCTTTTCATCATGAACTGTGACATAGATGGTGAGTTTGCTTCTTGCATCAGTGAAGAATAATATGTGAGACATTAATAAGCAGGAGTAATGACATTATGTGTTTAAAGATAAGAAGTCTTTGTTTTTGTCTCAGGAGACATGGAGAACCAGGTGGAGATGGAGGAGAAGACGAGGTTAATAAATCAAGTTTTGGAACTTCAGCACACACTTGAAGGTAAAACACAGACGCTCTCATTGTTACTGTTGTATATTGAAACCTAAAGGTGAATGTAGTGTTGTATCTTTTAAAGCCCAATGGAAGGACCAGTTTTACTTAAAGGAGCAGTATGTAACTCTGCCACTTAGAGTTTAAAATGGGTACTATCTGCCATGTCAGACAGTGAAGTTTCAGTATTAAACCAGCTCTGCATTGATCTTGAAACCTTTTTGGGTTCTAACCTCTCTCTGTGTTTGAAAGTATCTCTAATATTTATCCTAGTTTGACCACGTTTCTGGCCATGGAGCTTATGAGATAAATGCAGAGGCTTTTTAGGTCAGTAAGGATCAGTTCTATCTGAATCAGTTCACCTGTCGGTTTGCAGTTTGCCAGGCAAACCGAGGGGCAAAACAACTGTGTGGGGGGGTGCCTTAAACCTACCTAAGCTGCATTGCATTAATTTTTATGCAGTGATGTTGCTAGGTACACACGCTGAGCCTCTGATGCATTCAAATGAAAGAGGATGCAGTAAGTGTGCTATCCGTGCACCTCATCTTTCAACATAATCCATTGTGAACCATAAACCTGTCAAGACAGGATTTTTTCTACATTTTTTTCTTTTTTTTGTCACTTCTAATCGTTCCATTTCCTTGTTTTCATTTAGATCTGTCAGCACGAGTCGACGCAGTCAAGGAAGAGAACCTGAAGTTAAAGTCAGAGAACCAGGTCCTTGGTCAGTACATCGAGAACCTCATGTCTGCCTCCAGCGTCTTCCAGACCACTGACACCAAGAGCAAACGGAAGTGAGGTACCTTCAAGTCTTCTGCTAATAGCTGGGAGAGGAAACCCCACCATGGAGACATGGAGAGAGTTTAGTTTTGTCGACAGACCTGGGCGTTTTCTTTTTTTTTTTTCTTTAACAGAGAGAGCCCCCTTACCTGAGCAGAAAATAACTATTTAATAATCCAAAACATAAACTGATCCTTTAACCCATCCTGCAGGCTCAGAAAAAGATACATTTCATGTTAGTCTGGCCTGGGTCTGTTCTGTAGCAGCTTCCTCTCCACACTACAAACCAGGTAGACATTAACCTTTATTTACTTACACAAAAACAAGAAGTATATGAAGTGGTTATGGGTCATTTTTTACCTTAAGTTTCTTCTTTAAGCTCCTTTGCAAACTCTAATATATCCTGTTAACCCATTTAACCTGCCTGGTTTTCTGTTTGAGGACTAGTTTCTGTCTCAAACTGACCTGTGTTGGGCTGAAACAACCCATCAAATACTACAAATAACCTGAATTTAATGTCTGGTTTCTTTTATTTATCTTTGTAAATGTGTGTCTGCATCAGCTGGATCTGAGTTTTTTGGCAGGTTTTGGATGTCATCTTGCCATCTATGTATTCCCCCGTTTGAAGCAAACAAACTAAACAGTATTACTAAGAATGCTGATGGTATACAGATCACATGGATGAGAACAAATAGATCTCCTGAATGGGTTTCCTTTGGTTTGAAAGATTTGCACATCTCATGTATGGCCTCAAATCAATTATAAGTTAGCAGCAGAAGGTGTAAAGATGCTTGAAATAGAAATGCTACCACTATAAAGTTAATATAAGATACAGGTCAAACTGGAAACTGTGCTAACAGGGACCTAATTACTCCAGTTAAAATTAATTAGAACCATCAACATCAAATGTAAAAAACTGGCCTTGTTAAGATCTAGTCACTTATTCAAAAGAAAAAATAGAAGCACTAATCATGTATAGTCTCAATTTGATAGTTTCTCTCAGGTTAGAATAAATATTCTCCTCTAAAACATACAGGATCATATTTTTTCATGGCACACCAGTTCTACCTTTAGAGTTGCATTTTGTAAAGTAAGATTGTTTTTTGCTGGTTGTGAGTGCTGTAGATCTCATTAAACATACAACACAACCTTGTACTAGATTTGGCCAAACCACTTTGTTAAAACAAATACAAATATGTGTTCTCTTATTATTTAGAGTACTTTATTGGCCTTTCTGTTTTCCCAGGAAAACAGAACGGTTTTCCTGGAACAGACAGAAACATGGTGGTAGCAAAAAGAAATCTGGCCATCCCAATGACCCACTTCACGATTAAACTTTTATAAAAAGAGGTTAAAACATCTTTTTGATTAGGTCTGAGTTGTATGACTTTTGTATATACGGTGACTTGTATGCATATGTTAGCATACACCTACAGTACATGTGAGACATGGACAAGCACCAGGGGCCATGTAGTTGAAACATATAGTGTTATATCTAAATAAGCATTCATTAAAACACTGACATTTATTAACCTAAAAACACTTCTGGAATACTTTTAACATCTATGCTAACAGTAAAATTGGAATTTACAACTAAGCAGAATATGTGTTGTCCATATACTGTAAGTGCTGCAAGCGGAAGTGAAAGCAAAGAGAAACTAAAATCTATTAGCACAGGAATTTGGGTCTTAACTAACATCACTGATGTTTTTATGCATTTATTTTTATTATCACAATGACACCTTACTTTCTGTACTTAAAACATGTGTGTTGCCCTTTCTCTGCATTGTTTCATAATTGAGTGTTGTGACCCAAACTGTAACATGAGAGCGACAAAGGAGAAGGGTCATAAATGCAGAGGCAAAGCCTGCATGCAAGACAGAAAGCAGTGAAGAGGCCTTGAGTGCTATTGATCCCTCTCAGCCAAGCCTGCAATCCATCAGGTGATGGAGGGTTGGTCTGACTGTAAACTGAGCAGCAGAGTGAGGGTGTGTCCTCCTATGACACTGCTGCTGTAGATGAGAATAAGAAAGGGCTGAAGGTGGATGTACAGGATGATGAATCATGTTGTTTTTAAAGGTTCATATTCCCTTTAAAGTCAAAGTATTCTGTTCAATGTCTGAAAGTCGTGAATCCACCTGTTATCATGTTACTGTGGTGCTTTCAAAAAGGGAGGAACTGGATATAACAAGGCTACAAACTGTATATGCTGTAATTTATTGAGGTAATTTTGATATTTTAACAGTTGTATAAAAGTATTACATTGATTTCTTCCTGGCATGCTGAATATGCCCCATCTACACACACCCTGGTACCAACTTCTCCGTGTGTAGACACTACAATGTTGCTTTAAACATTTTTGTTTTAATAAAACCCTAAAATCACTCCCGTCTGCGTCTTTTGTCTCTTCTACACTTTCTGATTGGTGATAGAATGCATAGAAATAAATGAAATATGTGCCTCATACCTTTGACAAGTATTTTGTATTAAATAGTTTATTTTCATTAGCAATGTACACTTTGCAAAAACAAAAAAAATGTAAACAGGGATATCTGCCATCACCTGGCAAAATCATAAACTACGAAAGCTTGAGACAATAATATAAAACAAATAAATATGCATCATTAGCATCATCCCGAAGCAACAGTCCAGTATCTGAACTGCATCATTCAAGAGAATGCAGGAAAGCACTGCTGTAGACTGACTGAATGAGACACGTTTTCACAGGTTGTAGATCCAGAAACACACATTATTACAATGCCATGTTGAGATCTGCTGGCCGAGGCATTTGAAATTATCTTTTTTTTAATGTGGCAAGCACTTACAGAGTCATTGTTCAAATGTTAACTTTTACACCAGTGAAACGATGCAAACAGACCTGGGCTCCGTATCTAAACATCAGTGGTATCTCATATTCCTCTCCAAACAAACACTGCATGTAAATCCATACTGGCTCAAACCAAATTTAAATAAATAGTGTTATTAGTGCTAATCATCAATTCTGCTATAACTTAGTGAAATAAAAAGAAGTCACTGCTGCTTTTTTACAAACTACCTTCTATCTAAACAGATCATCTTTATTTTTTTAATAACTTAAGATCAAGAAATTCATCAGCAGAAATGTCATGACAACATCTCAAACAGCTGCTCTGTGCACCTTCGCTTCATCTCCTCCCCGAACAAACAATTTTGAACAAGGAAGGAACTTTGTCACACGATGTCCGAGAGCATTTTTTTTTTTTTAAACTAAGGAACAAGAATAAAGTCATACTTCTGAGATGTGGCCCTTAAGAGAGGCTGTGAAATGGTATGAAACTGTAGACAAAAGCAGAGCAGCTGCTGCCCTCACTCTGAGAGGAGATACTCAGGTTGATCAACGATGGCATTTATTCAGAGAGAAGACTGACAGAGACCAGGAACACATGAACTGAGTTGGAAGAGGAGGGATATCTTAGGCAGGCATTTAGAAAAGGAAGGCATAGAGAAGAGAAGGATAAAGGAGTAGAAGTTTAAGATAGAGGAGGGGAAAACAGCTAAATGCACAACATCTCAATGTGATTTATCTGATAGTACAGCAAGCACGCAGAAAGGAGAGGGGGAGATGGGAGGACAGGTGAGATAGGACAGGCTGTGGGAGACTGCAGACCTGTTATGGGTGTATTTGTAGGGATGGAGAGATATGAATGGGGCAGCCGGGGTGACTGCGGGCTACCAGGTGGTGTGAGGAAATTCATGCTGCTCAGCTCAGAGAGGGGGAGAGCAGCAGCAGAGAGGGCCCTTCCACCTCCGCCAAATCAGGTGAGCAAGGAGACCGCAGGCGATGGGGTTCACCTCATCAGTCTTTCCTTACTCTCCTTTTCCTCACTGACTGCTTGTGACTCTCCTCGACGATGTCTCCTCCTTCCTTTGGCTGTGGAACAGAAATAGAATTATGAAATATGAAAGCAAGAGAATTTTATTGAAAGGATGAGACATTTCTAGATACCTTTTAAATGCAAAGTGTATTCATATAAATAAGTATTCCTGAAGGTGAACAAGCGCAGACTCCCTGACCATGGGCACACTGTTCATTAGGACAAGGACACTGTCAGAGAGTGGTAATAGTCTGAACAGAGGGGAGGAGTTAATGAGTGTCTGAAAGCAACATGGCTTACCATTCGCTTATATTGATGTTTCACAGCTTTGTACCAAATACCTGCAACTGCCAATTGCAACAGGTGAATGCTCATGGTCATGGTTTAGAGATGAGGTCCAGGTGTTATACATTTAAAGTTGGAGTTCAATACATGCCTTTTAAATCAAAACAACTCATTTTAAAAGACACCATTGGGGGTGGGTACTGAAAACCAAGACTTTTTGGTACTGACACCTGATTGGCCGGTGCTGAGAGTACCGTTAAGCTCAGGGTAATAGTGCTCCCTCGGTATTAACGTTAACAGTCCTTCATATGCAGCACAGAGGCTTCCATGAGCTGCTATCAGCTACACAGTGGACTAGTCATGCTATTACAGTTTGCTTCTTGAGTCTGATAAAAACAAGTTTCAGCTCGCTTTCCCTGTACACGTCAAATCAGTATACGGGCAGTAGAATAGTGTGTGTGTGTGTGTGTGTGTGTGTGTGTGTGTGTGTGTGTGTGTGTGTTCCCTCTTTTAATTTACTCAAGTTTTTCTCTACTCTTTCACAAACTACTCTTTACCTTCAAACTTCTCCCTGCTTCCCAATCTCTGCAGCTCTCTCTCTTTCTGAGAGCAGACCTAAGTGTTCAATACATAGGACAATGTGACACCTACACAGTAAGCATTAAAAACATTTTCCCCAATAAACTACACTGTCACAGACATGGATGGGTTTATAAATGACATCACATCTCTCTTAGGCTCCTCGAGATCGTTGGTTGACAGCCTGCCAAAACAACCCCCCCTGCCCACCGGATTGTTGATGGACAGCTTGCCAGAACAACCCCCCTCCCCACCGGATTGTTGATGGACGACTTGTCTCCCCCCAACCCCTTGCTCCCTATCCCTCTTCCTGCATCTTATCTCATCTCTCCCCCTATCCCTTTCCAAGCCCGGCGCAGTCTAGGCCTGTGAAGACTGTTTCGTCATGAGCCGGGGATCCGGCCGAAGATTTCTGCCTTTTAATAAGGCAGTTTTTTTCTTACCACTGTAACTTTTGCTGCTTTGCTAAAGTGCTCATGATGGATAGGCCGGATCTTTGTAATATAGCAATAAGTAAGGTCTTTTACCTGCTTTTTGTAACATAACAATAAGTAAGGTTTTTTTACCTGCTCTTTTGTAATGTTAAAAGACAAAGAGTAAGGTCTTTTACCTGCTTTTTGTAACATAACAATGAGTAAGGTCTTTTACCTGCTTTTTGTAACATAACAATGAGTAAGGTCTTTTACCTGCTTTTTGTAAAGTGTCTTGAGATAACACTTGTTATGAGTTGACGCTATACAAATAAAAACTGAATTGAATCTCTCTGGGTAATTAAGCGGATGATTATTATCAAATAATTATTTTCTGCTCCTGATGCAGGATCAATCAATGCCTCAGAAACCTGCAGACTATCTAAGGTTAAACAGTCTTTGTAATGTCACATTTTCACAATCCACTTCAAAGAAAGTGTAATTTAGGGGTTGAAGCAGGGAACAGCATTCTCTCATGGGAACACACGTGACCCGGTCAAACAGTCGGTTGGACTTTACTCCGTTCACTCTCATCGTGTCTGCAGCTAATTTAACAAAAGCAAAATCATCTCACAGCAGCCTGCTGTAGTCTGTAGTCTGCATTATTTTTTACAGAACTCTCATTTATTATTTTCTGTTTGTTGTGTGAGTATTAAATGCGTTTGTAGGCTGTTGGTAAAGGCTATGGCTCACTATGTGGACTGGTAGAGCTCGGCAGACTGGTAACTTTAAAAGTAGATCTTGGTTCAAAAAAGGTTGGGCACCCCTGCGTTAGTGCATAACTCAACATTGTTCAGTTACGTATAACACGTAAAGCTCACTTTTTCAGTTCATTCCCCGTCCACGAATCCCTCGAATTCTTCTTCTTCAGTGTCCGAATTGAACAGTTGGGCGAGTACGGCATCCAACATGCCCGGCTCCCTCTCGTCATTATCCGAGTCAGTGTCGCTGAGCGCCGTGTACAACCAGTATGGATCAACCAATTAACCAATTGATCCATATATAAGGCGCTCCAGATTATAAGGCGCACTGTCGTTTTTTGAGAAAATTAAAGGCTTTTAAGTGCGCCTTATAGTGCGGAAAATACGGTACATTTAAACATCTTTTATGTCATGTCTTTAATAAGAGAACTATTGATAAGAGTTGATAAGGATACTGGTATCATTGAAATCCCAGCCTGGGGAATGATGTCGTAGTTTTATCATGACTGCCCCTCTGATAGCCTATATTGATACTACCAGAGGTGTAAAGTAACGAATTACATTTACTTGCGTTACTGTAATTGAGTAGTTTTTTGCTGTACTTACTACTTTTTAAGTTGTTTTTAAAATCTGTACTTTTACTTAAGTAGGTTTTCTGTTAAGTACTGTAATTCGCTACATTTTAAAGCACATCAGTTACTGACTTAAAAAAAATAGGCCTGCTATGAATGATTTTCCTTCATCGCTCTGGACGACAGACAGAGAGACAGAGACCCTTTTCTTGGCTCGGTGCCACTTCAGTATAATGCAGCACGGATAAGCACCTCCACTACAGCGGGTCTACCTGCTGAAAGTGTTTATAAACTGATGTCTTATTGTCTTGAGTCCAAGATGATTAAAATAAGTTGGCTGTGGCTCTTACTCTTGGGCAAAGAAGTGGCTGAGTGCTCTTTCTCACTGCAGCGTTCGCGACTACAATCGCCGCTGCAGCTCTGCTGCAGCTCCGAGCCATAAACACATTTAGTTCCGGAAAGTTTTTCACAATAAAAGTCCCTTATTACCATCTCTGTGATGTGCTTTTATTTTAAAGCAGACGTATGAGGAAGTTGGGTGTTATAAGCTGCTGCAACTTAACACATCTCAGATGTGTGAAAATAAATACTTCAAACCAAACACATTCAGTTAGAAGCTTCAGTAGCTAATAGGTAAACAAACAGAGACTAAAACATCTAATATACTCTCATACAGGCTCATTTTAAAACAATAAATGGATTATCTTTCATCTCAGGTTTAGTTGCAGCTACATCAGCCTTTGAGGCTGCATTTGAGACAAAGAATAACAAAACTAAAAACACTAAAATACTCTACACTGTTTATGATTGAGACAAAGTCCCCTTTAGTATTTTCTTAAATAGTTTAAACATTTCCCTTCATAAAACAGCTGATTACTTGAACATATAAGCCTTGAATATGTATTCCATTATTTATATTTTGTT